ACAACTATAGTTGTAACTACATGGTTTTGTGGATCTGAGTCACCTCTCCGGCGGGAGCTGCAGTGGTCATGCGTCCGAATGTAAATCATGTGAACATGGGGATGCTGCAATGGTCGTAAATGTGAAAAATGGTCATAAGTCACTTTTCAGTGCTGTAACTTTGGACGGTCACTAAACAAACTCTTGTAAGTCGATGACTTGACTTGGCTCGGCTACTGCATGACCCCTGGCAAGTGGTAGGTAACTTCCTCCTCCGCCCTGGTTAGCTTTTTGTGTGAATGCGATCACGCTCAACATTTCACACAATCCATTTGTTGTCCTCCCTCTTTTGAAGGACCAGCCCTGGAATTTCCTTTTCCCCCCAAATACCACCACCTGCAAACTCTCCTCTTCAGATTTTTGGGGTGGGGGAGAGGGGGGAAGGAGAGAGGGAGGGGGAGAAAGGGAAGGAAAGAGGGAAGGAGGAGGGAGGGAGATAGAAAGGGAGGAAAAGACAGGGAGGGAGAGAAAAAGGGAGGAACAGAGGGAAGGAGGGAGGAAAGAGGGAGGTAGAGAAAGGGAAGGAGGAGAGAGGGAGAGAGAGGGAGGAAAAGACGGAGGGAGAGAAAAAGGTAGGAAAGGAGGGAGGGAGGAGAGAGGGAGGAAAAGACATGGAGGAGGGAGGGAGAGAGAGGGAAGAAGGGGAGGAAAAGAGAAGGAGAGGGAGGGAGGAGAGCAAGAGGGAGGTAGAGAAATGGAGGGATAAAGAGGGAGGGAGAGGAGGAAAAGAGAAGGAGAGCTGGAGGGAGGAGAGGGGGATAAAGAGGGAGAGAGAGAAGGAGGGAGAGGAGGGAAAGGGAGAGAGAAGGAGAACCGGAGGGAGGGAGGAGTGGGAGAGAAAGGGAGGGATAAAGAGAGGGAGGGATAAAGAGAGGGAGGGAGGGTGGGAGAGGAGGGAAAGGGAGAGAGAAGGAGAGCTGGAGGGAGGAGAGGGAGAGAAAGGGAGGGATAAAGAGAGGGAAGGAGGGAGATGAGGGAAAGAGAGAAGGAGAACCGGAGGGAGGGAGAGAAACGGAGGGATAAAGAGAGGGAGAGAGGGAAGGAGGGAGAGGAGGGAAAGGGAGAGAGAAGGAGAACCGGAGGGAGGGAGGAGTGGGATAGAAAGGGAGGGATAAAGAGAGGGAGGGACGGTGGGAGAGGAGGGAAAGGGAGAGAGAAGGAGAGCTGGAGGGAGGAGAGGGAGAGAAGAGGGATAAAGAGAGGGAGAGAGGGAGAGGAGGGAAAGGGAGAGAGAAGGAGAACCGGAGGGAGGCAGGAGAGCGAGAGAAATAGAGGGATAAAAAGAGGGAAGGAGGGAGAGGGAAGGAAAGAGGGGAGCGAGAGAGAAGGAGGGAGAGAGAGAAAGTAAAAGAGAGAGCCAGAGAGCCCCTGAGCAGGTGCAGAGTTTTGTTCCTCTGGGAGGGCGGCGACCGGACCACCAAGCCCCCCCCCCCCCCCGAGGTGCGTTCCCCGGGGCCGGCCCCACGCCGGCAGGGCTTCCCCGGGGCCGGCGGGCGGGGGCCTCTTTCGGAGAAGCAGCTGCGCCGCCGCTGCTCTGCCTTCCATTGGATTAAAAATAGCGTCTCTCCGCCCCTCCGGGCGGGCGGGCCGGCCTCGGCTGCGCGCTTCTGCCCCTGTCCGCGTCTCTCTGCCCGGGCTCGGCCGACCGTCTCTTCGCGCCCCTGGCCAGCCAGCGCAGCTCTCGGGGAAGATGGAGCGGGCCGCCTTGTTCGCGCAGGGGCGGGAGGCGCCGATGGCTGCGGGGGACGTGGGCGAGCTCTTGGTCCCCTACATGCCCACCATCCGGGTGCCCAAGACCGGCGATCGCGTCTACAAGACCGAGTGTGCCTTCTCCTACGACTCGCCCGTAAGTAGCGGCGCCCGCCCGCCCGGATTCTTTCCCCGCTCTCTGCGGGCTTGGGGACCCCGGCTCTGCGCGCTCCCCGCTTCTCCCGGGACCCTCCATCCCACGCGTCCCTTCTCCCCCCACAACCACTGCCTGCCCGGCCTGGTTTCCCGTGGGGTCGCCCTCGCCCCGTTGCGCGGCGAGGCTTTGACCCCCTCCCCCCTCCCCACCTGTCCTTTCCCTCTCGGACTACATCTCCCCTCGTCCCCAGCGGAGTTCCATGATCCCTGGGTCGATTGGTCTGAATGGGAAAGGCTGGGCGGACCTGTAGTTATTCCCCCCTCCCCAACTTCTACCTCACCCCAATTTTCCGGGACTCCCCTAGAAGTGAAGTTGTCTGGAGAAGATGATCTAGGCTTCTTCTATCTACTTCGTTTTGATGCCCAGCTTGAGGGCAGCGCCTAGCCGACGTGGGAAAAGGCAAAAGGGAGTTGGATTTGGTCATGGGGAGGGCTTGGGTGGGAGACCACCAGGAAATGTCCAGGTTGAAAAAGGCCAGATTGGGAAGGTTTAAAAAAAAAAAAGCGTGAAAGAAAGGGTGAACAATCAACCCATGGAACAGAAGTTGCCTTGGGAAGTTGTGAGAGCTTCATCACTGGAGGCTTTCAAGAAGAGTTTGGATGGCCATTCGTGAAGAATGGTCTAGGGCAGTGGTCTCCAACCTTGGCAACTTTAAGACCTGTGGACTTCAACTCCCAGCTTTGCTGGCTGAGGAACTCTGGGAGTTGAAGTCCACAGGTCTTAAAGTTGCCAAGGTTGGAGACCACTGGTCTAGGGCAGGGGTCAGCAATCCGCCCGCTCTGGAGCCGCATGTGGCTCTTTCATCCCTCTGCTGCGGCTCCCTCTGGTTCAAAATATGTGTCACAACCACCAATGTGCGACACCTGCCAGCACGTGTTTTATTGTGGTTTTGTGGCTCCCGGTCTTTTCTGTGGGAAACAATCCAAATCCAAATGGCTCTTTGAGTGTTTAAGGTTGCTGACTCCTGGTGTGGGTCTCCTGCTTGGGCGGGGTGAAGTGTATGTGAGGTTGGACTAGATGACCTACAAGGTCCCTTCCAACTCTGTTAATCTCATCTAAAAGTAATGGCAAACCAATTCTATTCCAAATGGATATATCTTTGGAGTTGCAAGTCCACTTGGATCTGACGTAAATATTTTGCCAGGAGACTCTTAAAAGTTGGACTTTGGAGCTGGTTACAAGCCTCTGAATAGATTCCTTCCTCCATATGCATCTCATCCCATTTTATTGGCAATATAGCCCAATGCTGCTGTTTAAGCCATCAGCTGCCCTGCCTGTTTCTCCTTATTGGTAAGGAACATCAGCCAGGATTTTTTGGGCTTGCCAGCCAGATCTGAAAAAAATCACTCCCCCCCCCTAGCTTGTGTGTTCCTCACAATGCCATTTATTGAACCAGATATGTTAGAGTTATTTGTTAAAATAGCTGCCTTTACTCAGTACCTTAATTTTAGTATTGATCTTGATGCATTTTTTTTAAACGAATTAGAACCTTGCTAACCAACTAATTTGGTTAGCTGATGATTCAACTCCCAGGGTTAACAAAGTAGCAAAGTTAAGTGAGCTGTATGAAACACCCAGTCAGTTTTTCAGCCTCTTAAGTTACCATCCCATCAGCCCTTCTACTTCTTTTCTGGCTAACAATGATGATTTCGTCTCTGCTTTCTTGATATCTTTCCAAGCTGCTTGTGGTCTCTTTTAATTTATCAACATCAGCTGGTAGTTTTTGATTATGTTGTAATAGACGTGCCTGGGTGTTGCCTTCTTACTTACAGCAGGTAGTTCTTATTTTAACAATTGGTCACTTAATGAGGATTCAAAGTTATGACAGAGTCCCCCAGAGCTACATATGGCCCATTTTCAAAGTTACGATGGTCGCATGCATCTTCCCTTCCACCTTGGGTGCTTAGCAAGAATTTCATCTTTAAAGCTGTTGGCATCATCCTGCGGTCATGTGACCATGATTTATGATGGGATTGAGGGTTTTTTTTTGGGGGGGGGGGTTCTTGTGTTTACTTCTAGTTTCTGTCAAAAGTGCCCGGTGTGGAAAATGGATTCACTTAACAATGCTAGTGTTTATTGAGCAGCCACTGCAACAAATGTAAAAAAAGAAAAATAAATCAGGTCTGGTCATGTGGTGCCTCAATTTATGACCACAATATCTTACAACTATAATTCTAGGCTCAATTACAGTCGTAAACTGAGGACTATGTGCACTTTCACGGGTGAAATTCAGTGGGTTGCTATCCAATATTTTGCAAGGATGGGGGCGGGGATGACTGGTTGAGTTACAGATGCATTTTTGCCGGCAAGTCCTACAATCCCGTGTGAATTTGAACTCATCAGGGTTGCAAACATATTTCCTATGATCTTGGTTCCAGACTG